CAACTCTTGGGAGACGACGGCCAGGCGGGCCTTGGTACGTTCTGCTTCGTCAGCAGCGTCCCCAGGTCCGCCATCAGCGCCATCATCAACCACGATGGCCGCCCCATGTTGCGAAGCCCCAACCATTTGAGCCTCGAGCTGCGCTTCCAGGGCGGAGATGCGAGCCCGTGCTCTCTTGAGCTCTGGATTCGACTTGGGGTCTTTAGGGTTCTCGTCCCAGGTTTTTTACTTAACAGCGAAGACTGATGGGTTTCTAGTAGGGTCAAAAGACAGCATCACGACTCCCCAGGGGGGTCTGGGCGGGATCCGGCGATCTGCCGGCGCTCTGCCGCCGCCACCCAAATCGCCTTAGACATCCTCGCAAAATCGCTCTTGGCGCTCCCAGAACTCCATTCCCGGGCTACATTCTGAATGCTCGGAGCCAACTGTAGGCCACTTCGTGCTCTTCGACTTCCCAGAACTCCATTCCCGGGCCACATTTTGAATGCCCGGAGCCAACTGTAGGCCACTTCGTGGTCTTCGAGTTCCCAGAATTCCATTCCCGGGCCACATTTTGAATGCTGAGGCAGGCTGAGCTGAGGCTGAGGCAGGCTGAGGCTGAGGCAGGCTGAGGCTGAGGCCGAGGCTGAAGGCAGACTGAGGCTGAGGCTGAAGCAGGCTGAGGCTGAGGCTGAGGCAGGCTGAGGCTGAGGCTGAGGCAGGCTGATGCTGAGGCAGGCTGAGGCTGAGGCTGAGGCTGATGCAGGCTGAGGCTGAGGCACGCTGAGGATGAGGCCGAGGCTGAAGGCAGACTGAGGCTGAGGCTGAAGCAGGCTGAGGCTGAGGCTGAGGCAGGCTGAGGCTGAGGCTGAGGCAGGCTGATGCTGAGGCAGGCTGAGGCTGAGGCTGAGGCTGATGCAGGCTGAGGCTGAGGCAGGCTGAGGCTGAGGCCGAGGCTGAAGGCAGACTGAGGCTGAGGCTGAAGCAGGCTGAGGCTGAGGCTGAGGCAGGCTGAGGCTGAGGCAGGCTGAGGCTGAGGCTGAGGCAGGCTGATGCTGAGGCAGGCTGAGGCTGAGGCTGAGGCTGATGCAGGCTGAGGCTGAGGCAGGCTGAGGCTGAGGCCGAGGCTGAAGGCAGACTGAGGCTGAGGCTGAAGCAGGCTGAGGCTGAGGCTGAGGCAGGCTGAGGCTGAGGCTGAGGCAGGCTGATGCTGAGGCAGGCTGAGGCTGAGGCTGAGGCTGATGCTGCAGGCTGAGGCTGAGGCAGGCTGAGGCTGAGGCTGAGGCTGAGGCTGAGGCAGGCTGAGGCTGAGGCTGAGGCTGAGGCTGAGGCCGAGGCTGAATGCAGACTGAGGCTGAGGCTGAAGCAGGCTGAGGCTGAGGCTGAGGCAGGCTGAGGCTGAGGCTGAGGCAGGCTGATGCTGAGGCAGGCTGAGGCTGAGGCTGAGGCTGATGCAGGCTGAGGCTGAGGCAGGCTGAGGCTGAGGCCGAGGCTGAAGGCAGACTGAGGCTGAGGCTGAAGCAGGCTGAGGCTGAGGCTGAGGCAGGCTGAGGCTGAGGCTGAGGCAGGCTGATGCTGAGGCAGGCTGAGGCTGAGGCTGAGGCTGATGCAGGCTGAGGCTGAGGCAGGCTGAGGCTGAGGCCGAGGCTGAAGGCAGACTGAGGCTGAGGCTGAAGCAGACTGAGGCTGAGGCTGAGGCAGGCTGAGGCTGAGGCTGAGGCAGGCTGATGCTGAGGCAGGCTGAGGCTGAGGCTGAGGCTGATGCAGGCTGAGGCTGAGGCAGGCTGAGGCTGAGGCCGAGGCTGAAGGCAGACTGAGGCTGAGGCTGAAGCAGGCTGAGGCTGAGGCTGAGGCAGGCTGAGGCTGAGGCAGGCTGAGGCTGAGGCTGAGGCTGATGCAGGCTGAGCTGAGGCAGGCTGAGGCTGAGGCTGAGGCTGATGAGGCTGAGGGTGAGGCTGAGGCTGAGGCTGAGGAGGCAGGCTGAGGCAGAGGCTGAGGCTGATGCAGGGTGAGGCTGAGGCAGGCTGAGGCTGAGGCCGAGGCTGAAGGCAGACTGATTTTGAGGCTGAGGCAGGCTGAGGCTGAGGCTGATGCAGGCTGAGGCTGAGGCAGGCTGAGGCTGAGGCTGAGGCACGCTGAGGCTGAGGCTGTGACTGCGACTGCCGTTGCCACTGCGACTGCCATCGCGAATGCGACTACGACTGCGAGAACAGCAGAATTCTACAACAGGATTCTCATCTGAATCTTTAGGGGAATGCTTCCATATATGCTCCTACACATCGCTGTTAGGTTGCTTTGCCGGGATACTTTGTTATATTTTATATATATATATATGGGTATATATATATATAAAAACCAAACCGCGAGGATCGAGCTAGACCGAGGGAGCACCGCAACCTCCCGATTCCGCCGAAGGAAACACGATCCCTTGTGGCTGTGACATCCTCGACAGTGGGTATTCGACGCGAAGTTCCGGAGAGGTTTCCCAAAGTGGTTAGTACAAGACTTGCACACCCAATCTCGCTGATACCTCTGTGCCATCTCCTTAACAGCAGACGAGCACCTATAACAGATCGCCGATTCGGGCCTGGAGTAATAGTGAGAAAAGTGGCGGGCCGAACGACGTTCGGTCACGGGCTGTTTGAGAACAAATGGGGCCGCTTCTCCCCCATGCCAGAAAGCTCCTCGTCCTGAGCGAAACGCTACGGACTTGAGCCAAACTGACTACGGTTCTCCTCCTCCTCCTCCTCCTCCTCCTCCTCTCCGTCCTCCACCTCCTCCTCCTCTCCGACCTCCTCCTCGTCCTCCTCCTCCTTCCCCACTCCAACTTGTGGTGGTGGTGGTGAGGGAAAACAGGCCCATCAAGACTTGCCGCCAACGGTCTGGAGATCTCCTGGCCGCTTCCAGCCGGCACCCCTGCCAGAAGCGCTGGCCGCGATGCCTCAAGTCGGAGGCGAACCCGCGGGAGGAAGTGGGAGGGAGCGGGCCTTCTCGGAGTACTCGGAAGGCTTTGAGCCGTCAGAGAAGTTTTCTATGTTTTTGCTGAAGATGCAACATGCTTTTCAGAAAGCCAGAGGGCTTCTGAGAAGCCCCGCCGCCCTCCTAAAAGGCCTGCTCCTTTTCCTCCTCCTCCTCCTCATCCTCCTCCTCCTCCTCCTCTCCTCCTCCTCCTCCTCCTCCTCCCCCTCCTCCTCCTCCTCCTCCTCCCCCCTCCTCCTCCTCCTCCTCCTCCTCCCTATCCCACTCCTCTTCCTCTTCCGCCTGCTCACTTTCCCCCCCTGGCGCGCCGCCGATCAAGGGGATCGCCTCAGGGGTCGCCCCTGGGTCGTGGGGAGTGGTGTCGCGCTGCGAGGCTGCCTCGGGCGCCCCGGGCGCCCCGAGGTCCCGACTCGCCGCACCGCTTTTCGGGGGGCGGCCAATAGGGGGGTGATGGCCAGGGGGGGGATGGACATCATGGGGGTGATGGCCAGGGGGGGTGATGGCCAGGGGAGTGATGGCCAGGGGGTGATGGCTTAGAGGGGGGTGATGGCCAGGGGAGGGTGATGGCCAGGGGGTGATGGCCAGGGGGGTTGGACATCATGGCGAGGGACATGATGTCTCCCCCGATTTCATGGCGCCTCCTCTTGGTGCAGTACGTCCCTGCCCCCCCCCCACGTGGGCCGCGCACGTGCCGCCGGCCATGCTCTACGCCCCCCCCCCTCTTGGACGCCCCCCTCTTGGCCGCCCCCGAGCTTTTTTGGGCCCGCAGGGGGGAGGAGGAGTGGGGAGGCGGGGTTCGTGTGAGGATAGGGGCGGAGCGCGGGAGCAGCTGACCGAGGAGCCAAAAGCGCAAACATGGCGTGACCAGACGTCCGCAGAGCTCCGCGCGGCCTCCTCGGGCCGGCACCCCGGGCCTCCCCGCATGGGGCGCGCGAAGAGCGCGTCAAAGGGCGGACCCCGGAGGCGCCACTGTGGGCAGAGGGTCCCGCACCCCGGCCCGAGAAGTCGGAGCGCACACCCGACAGTGTATGTCTATGGCTCTGCTTACTTCTTCGGGAGGGATCGGGGGTGGACAGAACCCCCTCTATGACACGTCGATTAGTGAGTTGTCCGTTTTCGGTTTTCGAGAGGGCGCCGCGGCCGTCATTTACCAGGCTTGCGCTCGCCAAGTTTGGGCCCGAGGTCGTTTTCACTAAAGCACGTTTTACTAAAGGGGGGTATGTCCATCCCCGAAGGGAAAGAAACACACAGACACAATCAATCGTCGATTCCCAGGAAAGTATGGGAACAGATGGGAAGTGGGCGGGAGGACAAACACCCAGGAAAGATGGGGGAAAATATGGGGAATCTTTTTGTATTTGTGTGTATTTGTTTGTGTGTCCCAGGGCCCCTTCGTTTATGCCGATGCTGATCAGTCGGACGGTGCAGGGAGTGGCAAGCTCAGGTCACGGAGCGCCAGCCTGGCCGTGCGGACCGCCTGAAGTTTATGGTTGTGCGGTGTCTTGCTTCCCCTGCCTGGGGCAACGTTAGGGGGGCAGGCTCAGGGGCCATGCATCGACTCCCCATCGCCCATCGATCGGAGGTGGAGGAGGAGCAGCAGGAGGAGGAGAGGCAGGAGGAGGCAGGAAGAGGAGGAGCAGGCGGGAGTTGGCAGGCGGAGGAGGCAGGAGGAGGATGATCAGACTAAGAGGAATACTCATAATACAGATGAAACAAAACGCGCATACTTTTAGTAAAAAACATGACACGACGAGGGATACTGAGACGACTGGTAGTAAGAAGACGAAGGCTAGTAAGACGAGCAATACTGATAGTAGCAACACCACAACATAATGATACTATGTATAATAATAATACTACGACTAGCTATGCTCTGGGTGCTCGTAAGAAGACGCGTACTATGAATCATAACAAGACTACGACCAATACGACTAAAAGTAATATCAACAACACCCTAGTACACTAGTTATGATAATGCAGTGCAACTTGCGGTCACGGTGCACACTCCAAGCCGGCGGCGGCGGGCCCGGGCCCCTCCCGAGGCACCTGGGCGTGGAGCGCGACAACGACTTCCAGCTGTTGTGCGAGGACGCGCGCGAGCGCGAGCACCCACTGTCGGGGGACGAAATCTATACATATCCACTGCTCCCTGGCCAGGCCCATCCTGAACCCAGGAGCTGTGTATACGCCCTCCTGGCTAAACCAGGAGGGCGTGGCGTATACACCGCTGCGGGGTTGAGGATGGGCCTGGCCAGGGAGCAGTGGATATGTATAGATTTCGTCGCCCTACCACTGGGGGGAGCCCATGGGAAGCCGTTGCCCCTTCGAGGCGGCGGGCGGGCCGGGCGCCCGCCCGTTCGCGCGCTTTGGCACGGGAGGCGCTGCTGTGGTCGTCGTGGGACCTCGGGCCGCGGAGGGCGCCGCCGCCCGCCAGTCCACCGCCGGCCTCCACCACGGGGGAGGAGAAGGAGGAGGAGGAGGAGGAGGAGGAGGAGGAGGAGGAGGAGGAGGCGGAGGAGGAGGAGGAGGAGGAGGAGGAGGAGGAGGAGGAGGAGGAGGAGGAGGGAGGAGGAGGAGGGGAGGAGGAGGAGGAGAGGAGGGGCAGGAGGAGGAGGAGGAGGAGGAGGAGGAGGAGGAGGAGCGGCGCCAGTTTGATCAGACCAGCCTTGGGCGGCGAGCCGGAATGGGCTACCAGGAACCTCACTGTGCTGTCAGATTGCAGAGTGCGGACGGAGAGGGCTAGGCCGGCCGTCGAGCGTTTGTGCTTCTGCCGCTTTTTCTCCCTCTGGAGAAGCGATGGTTGGTGGGGTTAGGGTTCGGATCTCGCCACTTACCATCGCAGCTCCCAGCGGGGTCCAGCGCCGATCCAAGAAATCCGCGCGGAGTGCCGAACGTTCTAGGTGCCAGTGGTGGGGGGATGGGACCGCAGTGAAACAGAGAGTCCCCCACCGGGAACTCGGTTTCGGCTTCGTGTTCATGTCGTGCGCGCCGGCGAGGCGAAGCTGCGCGGGCGGGCGAGAGGAGTGACCCCGCCGTTGCTAGGGCAGGGCAGTACCGCTTCTCCTGTGGGCCAGCTGTGGCCATGGGTGTCCCGCAGTGGCGTCCCGCCATGCTGTTTATCAGGTTTCGTGTCCCTCCCACTCCTCCAGGGAGGCCCCGCCTGAGTGAGGAGGGTACTCGAAAACCATGGTGTCCCCTCAGTATCTCGTCGGTGTCCCGTCGGTGTCTGCGGCGGTGGCTGGGGGTGTCCTGTGGCGCGGTGTCCCGTGATGTCCAGTGAGGTCGATAGTGAGATCGATGGTGCGATCGACAGTGAGGTCGATAGTGAGGTCGATGGTGAAATCGATTGTGTCATCGATGGTGAGATCGAGTGTAAGATCGATAGTGAGAGGGATGGTCGATAGTAAGATCTATCGGAGGTGAGGGGGTGAGATCGCAGCGAAACGGAGAGCCACCCACCGGGAACTTGGTTTCGGTTTCGGTCTCGTGTTCGTGTCGGGCGCGCCAGCGAGGCGAAGCTACGTGGGTAGGCGAGAGGAGTGACCCCGCCGTGGCTAGGGCGGGGCAATACTAAAGACCACCCCTCTGGTGGGCCGGCGTGGCCGGGGGTGTATTGCCGGGGTGTCCCGCTGTGGTGCCCCGTCGGTGTCCCGTCGGTGTCCGCGGCGGTGGCCGGGGGTGTCCCGTGGCGCGGTTTCCCGTAGTGTCCCGTGATGTCCCGTGAGGTCGATAGTGAGATCGATAGTGAGATCGATAGTGAGCTCGATCGTGAGATCGATTGTGAGATCGATGGTGGGAGAATGGTCGATTGTAGGCTGGATAGTGATATCGGCTGTAGGGTCGATAGTGAGATTGATAGTGAGATCGATAGTGGGATCGATTGTGACATCGGGAGTCAGATCGATTGTGAGATCGTTAGTGAGGTCGATTGAGTGAGGCGTTAGTTCCCCCCGAACCTCCTTGTCACCAGACGGGTGATCGTATAGGTATGCACTTTGTTGCTCTTCTATAAACGTAGCCCGTGTTTCCAGACTGAATGCAGATGGCACTTTTATGAGACCCCCTCGGGAAACAGGTTTATGTTGCAGGGGGGTTGGCTGATTCAATTATCATTTGAGGTTTCAGGCTGGACTGCGGTTTGATCATGTGTACAGTCAAATTGTTGGTACGTTAGGAGAACGCTGTGCGACGGCACCCACAGATACAGACAGAGAGCGCTTATGGAGAACTCACTCAGGGGTCTGGCCAAAGCCCTCAGCAGAGCTGAGCGAGCACTGAGAGTGAAGGTCCAGGTGGATCACCCCACTGGGAATCGGTCTCGGCTTCTGCTCGTGTCGTGCGCGCGGGCGAGGCGCAGCTGCTTGGGCTGGCGAGAACCCTCCTCTGGCCAGGGTGCTGCCAGGCCAGAAGACCGCCCCTCCAGTGGTCCGGCGGTGATCGCCGCATCCCGTGGGTGTCCCGTGGATGTCCCGTCGGTGTGCCGTCGGTGTTCGAACGGTGTCCCGTCGGTGTTCCGTTTGTGTCCCGTCGGTGTCCTCTCGGCGTCCCGTCGTGAGATCGATAGTGAGATCGATAGTGAGATCGGAGACCGATAGTGAGATCGGTAGTGATATCGATCGTGAGACCGATAGTGAGGTCAACAGTGTGATCGATAGTGGGATCGATTGTGAGATCGATCATGTGATTGATAGTGAGGTCGATAGTGAGATCGATAGTGAGATCGATAGTGAGATCGAGAGTAAGATCGATAGTGATATTGATCGTGAGATCGATTGAGTGAGACTTTGGTTCCTCTCCCTCGAACCTACCTATCACCCGACGCGTGGTCGTATAGGTAGCGCTATTTTATGAGGCAGAGTCTCTAGAGTGTCCTCCTCCTCCTCCTCTTTTTTCTTTCTCCTCCCTCCCTCCATCCCTCTTCTTGCAAAATAGCTCCTCCCTGTCGTACCCCGAGAGGGGTCAGAAGGGTGGGCCGGGCGTTTTGCCTTCCCACCACTTCTGATCTTGAAGCTTGAATGTTGCAGCAGTTTCACGGATGGAGGGCGGCCCGTTTTCGAACTGTGGCCCGCCAAGCGCCGCAGGCCAGCGCAGCAACAGGAGCTGGAGGAGGCGGTCCGCCGCGGTGCGATCCCGCTCCCTGCGCCGCCTGCAGCTGCGAGGTGGCAGACTCGCCTCAGCCGTGCACGAGCCCAACGTGTCCC